TAAGTCGCTGGACTCCCACATAGTCGACCACGGTTCGTGTCCCGGACCTGGTGGCTTAAAACTCAAGCCGGGCACATGTGCGTGCGTGCCCAAGATCCTGAGAGGAGAATGGGGGAGAAGGGATTGCAGCATGGCCATCCCCCCTGGGGGTGATTTCTCGCTTTCTGTCTGTCTGGCGAGCGCACACGCCCTATAGGAAAAAAAACAAACCCTGGAACAAAGCCCTGGAATTTTGGAGTGTGTGGGGCAAGTTCTAGGCAGCACCTTACGGGAGGGAATTATTTTAAAATGGGGCTTTATGTGCCTAAAAGCCAACCAGACCTGACTGGCTCAGCTGCCCACAGCTGGAAAGTGGCCCTGGTTCAAAAGCCACAGCACTGTGACAGGCACGGTGTGCAAGGGTATGACACTTCTTTCCCCAGCCTGTTTTCCAAGGTGTGGTTTGAGCATTTCCTTGGGTGTCTCATCTGCATGTGCTTCCCAGGATGCGTGTGCCCACACTGGAACTAAACAGAGATGACTGCATGTGCTTCCCAGGATGCATGTGCCCACACTGGAACTGAACAGGATGACTGCATGTGCTTCCCAGGATGTGTGTGCACCAACACTGGAACTGAGCAGGATGACTGCATGTGCTTCCCAGGACGTGTGTGCACCAACACTGGAACTAAGCAGGATGACTCTGCATGTGCTTCCCAGGATGTGTGCCCACACTGGAACTAAGCAGGGATGACAGCACTGCCCCGCTGCTCAGTAGCCTGCAGACCTTGGCTGTCGCCAAGCATGGGAGATGGAAGGTGTCCACCACGACCAGCCGCGGCATGCAGGTGCAGCCCAGCACCCGCACTTCACTACAGCCACCACCCTGCCCTCCCCTACCCATCCCTGGTATTCAAGTTCGACTCAGGTCCCGGCAGGAGCAGTGCTCTGGGTAGACAGCACTGGGGCTGCTAACCAGGACTGCAGGATCCACACAGTGCTCTGGAATTGTAACTCGAGTCCCCCTCACTCCATTGCCCTAAACCTTCAGATGTGACCCATTACCCCAGCCTCTGCTCCAACTGCAGGCACTGCAGGTATCCCAGCCCAGCTGTAGTTGCTAGGAACCCAGGCCCTGAACCCAAGGCGTCTGCATTGGGGTTTTCAGAGGACCCGAAGAAGGTACAGGAGGATCCTCTGCACCAGGGCCATTAACAGGTTTCTAATGGGGGCGGGGTCTGAGAGCCAGAAGGCAGGCATTCTGTGCACCCAGGAAGATAAACTTGGGTCCTGGCTGGTGGCAAGGCGCTCTGAAGTCTTGGTCTTCCCATTCATCAACACCAGGTGGATGAGAATGCTGTTGGTGGGAGTTGGAGGGTTCCTGTAGGGTAGGGAGGGAGAGGGCCCCGCAGAAGGCAGTGAGGACTGCACCAGCCGCCTCCAGGCACACATGAATGGGCCACGCGCTCACACCATTCCAAGTCCTTGCCTGCTGGGGGGCATGTACATCGCGCCCATGGCCCTCCACAAGCAGAAAGCAGCGGGCACCCCAGATCCCACCGGTGCTGTTCTCCAGTGGTCTAGCATTTATTTCACTAGTCCTTGAGGATTCATTAAATGATCTGCAAGAAACATCTCAGCAAGACTTCCTGCCTTGAGCTGAGACAACCTGCTTGGGGCACAGGCACCAGCGTGGCCTAGCTACTCAAAATGTTTAAAACCAGAGGGAATAAATATCTAGGTAGACTAGGTAAGGCAGACGAGAAGGCCAGTCCCTCTGAGGTCCAGGCACTCTGGTGACAAGTGATGTGGTCAGGCCAGGTGAGATGAGATAGAATGGGGGGGGGAGGCAGGTGACCGGAGCTCTGGGTGGCAAAGTCACCATGCTGACATTCAAGGACACAACTATCTACTGGGAGGCACAAGTGCGGGGGCACTGAGCTCTCAGGGGGTGAAGGCAAGTTCTACAACAGCACCGTGCTCTGCCAACCATGCCACTCTGTGCCAGTGACATGTGAAGGACACCATCGGGGCCAAAGGGTGGGAGCAGGAGACTGGTGGAAGGGGACATGATCGGTCACTGCTTGCTTCTAGGATTGAGGGGCAGGTGACCTAAATCTTCCCGCTCGTC